AAGGGCCTGCTCCTGGGCGAACGGAGATTTACGATATGAACCATCGTCTGCTTCGCGAGATTTGCAAGTGCTGCTTGTCAAATTTGAAAAATTATTCTCAGCTGGCAGCGTCTGGCCCTGGACTCCCGAATTCTGGCTATCGATCTCCATTGTACCCCGATCCAGCTGCTGGGTGAGAGAGAGCCAACACTGCACGAGAGAGGCTGAATCAGATCTTTGAGAGCGGCAATCAGGTTAGTGTCAGTCGTGTTTGTACCTGTGGACGGTGGGCTATCGGAGCGGCCCCTGCTGCCCTCATTCTCCGCAGGTGAAGTCGGAGCAGGAGCCCTTTCAGGCCACGACATGGCCTGGCGCATCGCCTCCACGGCGAGAGAGGAGGGAGGAGCAGGACCGATGAGAGCGGCCTCCGAAGGCCAGGGGGCGCGGCCGCGCCTGCCCTCGGCGCCTGCTCACCAGGCGCCTTGAGCCAAAATGACTTGAGCCAGAATTGCGACGGAGGAGAAGAAGGAGGAACTGGACAAGAGAAGCGGAGTAGCAGGAGGAGGGGGGTTGAGACAGTCTCACCCCTCCTGTTTGGGGCCCACCTCCTCCCTCCCCCGCGCCATTGTTTCGGGGTGGGGCGTTCGCCGAAGGCAGCCACTGGGCGGGGCGGCCGCCCCAGGCCCCCTCCGCCCACGAAGTACACGAGCTCGTCGAAGAGCCTGAATCGAAACCGCCTGCGAGGGAAAGGTGGAGGCGGCGGTCCAAAGCCTCCCCAGCCCCAAACCCGAGATCCGACGTTGCGAACCAATTACAACATCGCGAAACATCACGACCTGGGCCCTAGACCCCATCTTCCTGCTGCACTTTTCGAGCCGGATCTATATGTGACGGTCCCGGGGCCCGAAGCCGGGCGAAAATGCCAAGTGCAACAAAAGTGCAACTCCAAGATCTCAGGGGAGGCAAGGCGCCGCCGCTGCTCTCGGCAGGCACGATCGCGACGAGTCGGCCACGCGGTGCAGGCCACGCGGCAGCGGCCTCTGGCGCGGGCCCGCACGCGTCTTCGCGCCAGCGGCCGCCCTCGGGGGCCAAGCGGCTGGCCCAACGCTCCGCGGGCCCCACTCTAAGGATACCCACACCGCTACGGCCGGACCAAGGACAGAAGAACATGTCAAGAACATGAGACCCTTCGCCGGCCAAACTGAAGAACATTCGAGGGTACCCTCCCCCAGGATGCACCAGAGCATCCAACAAGCACGGGGAACATCAGGGTACTCTCCCCGAGCTGGCCTCGATCTTACACCTCGGTCCGACAGTCCTCCACGGACGTCTCCTGAGGTGCGTTCTGGCCAGGGCTCCAAAGCGAATACAGCCGTGGTGACGAAGACAGGGTAGCGGCATCAGTGCATGCTCCTCCTCTGATCCCTAGCGAGGGGCGAAAGGAGCCCCCTCCCTGGAGCGAGGCCAGGCGGTTACCCGGCGAGGGGGGTCCCCAGCCGCACTTCGAGCGACACGGCGAAGCAGAATAGGCGTCGGGGGGCAAGCCCCAGCGACCATGCAAAGATGACACTCAAGCGCTGAGAGGAGGGGGGGCTGAAAGAGGAGGAGGAGGAGGAGGAGGAGACTGAGAAAAAAGGAGAAGGAAGGATATAGGATGAGGGCGGAGGAAGGAGAAGGGAGAGGAGACAGAGAAGGAAGGAGTAGGAGGAAGGAGAAGGGAGAGAACGAGGAGGAGGAGGAGGAGGAGGAGGAGGATGAAAGAGGAGGAAAGAGGAGGAGGAGAAGGAAAAAGGAGAAAGGCGAAAGGAGGAGGTGGAGGAGGAGGAGGAGGAGGAGAAAGAGAAGGGAGGCAGGAAGACCGACAACGACCGCGACGACTCCGCAGACCCCCTTCCGCGAGGAACCGGGCGCCCTGCTCGGAGCCGCCCGCGGCGGCCCCGTACCTGCTGGAGCGCTCCGCCGCCGCCGCTGCGCCGCCCGCCCGAGGGAGGGGAGGAGGGCCGACGACAGGGCAGGAGGAGCTCTCGCGAAAAAATCCGGACGGGGAAGGGTAATCGTTCTGGGCGTCCGGGGGACCTTACCGGGCCCCAGGACTGTCAAAAAACGGCTCGGCACGAAAAACGGGTGCTGGAGAAAGGGTCGGGACTTCCGGGCTGGCCTCCAAGACAGCCCAAAGACAGCCAAGTTTGGCCCATGGTATTGACCTTCAGTGGCCCCAAGATGGCCACAGGATGGTCTCTTCAAAGGCCCCGAAGCCTCCCCGAGAAACTCCCAATACGCCTTCCAACGAGGCCTCCCAAGGCTCAGCTCGTTGGAGGCCTCAGGGTGGCCCTAGAGTGATCCAGACGAGGCCCAAGAGCAACCCAAGAGGGGGCCACAGGAAGGCACTCGCCCGCGGAGCAATCAGACTCGCTTGCTACGCCGCGCTGGCGGAGCGGAGGACCGGGCAAAGGAAGAGGACGACGAGGGGGACGTCGTCGGCACCGTCGCCGTCATCTCGTCGCTGCCATCGTCGCCTCCGTCTTCGCCGTCGTCGCCGTCGCCGTGGTCGTGGGCATTCGCCGTTGCCACCGTCGACTCCGTCGTCCCTCGCCGATGCCGTCGGTCGCCGTCAACGCCGCCGTGGCCGCCATCACGGTCGCCGCCGAAGTCGGCGCCGCCGCGCCACCGCCGCCGACCCCACCGTCAACACCGCCGCCGTCGCCGCCGCCGCCGCCCGCGCGGGCGGCGGGGTCGGCGACGGCGACGGCCGCGGCGACCGAAGGCCGCGGGCCGCCGCGGCGGCGGCGGCGCCCGCGGGGCACCGGTAGGAGCCCTCCAGCTGACGCAGCGCAAGGCCGAGGCCAGCCCGCGGCCACGGCGGTTCCGCCGCCGCTCCGGGGGCGTCCGGCAGCGCGGCGCCCTTCGGGTCCAGCCGGCTGCGACGACGACGTCGACGATGAGGACCACGACGACGACGACGACGACGACGACGACGACGACGACGACGACGACGATGACTGCGGCGGCGGCGACGGCGACGGCGGCGGCGGCGGCGACGGCAACGACCATGGCCATGAGATCGGCCACGGCCACGGTGATGGCGACAGCGGGATCTGGCAGCGCAGCCCCCCTCGGGCCTGGCCTGCTGCCCCGGGGGGCAGCCCAGAGGAGGCTCCAGGATCGAGGGTCAAAAGCCCAGAGTGCCGAGGGCTGCCGGCCGAGCTTCTTGGCTGCCTCTGCAGGCCTCCTTTGGGCTCCGTCGGCCTCGGGAAGCCTTGGGGGACCTCCAGAGGAGGCGGCGGCGACGACTAGAGAGGGGCGCTGAGGGGTCCCCCCTCAGCGCGCCTGCCCCTGCATTGCTTGGTCCCCCTCAGCCCTCAGCGCCCCTGCCCCCGCAGCGCCCCTGCCCCTGACCACCAGAGGGGGTCGCCGTCTCCTCTTGGAGGACGACCTCGAACCCCCCGAACTCCTCGGATCTTCCCAACCCACTCAGAGCCGCCCAGGTCTCCCCGGCCCATGAGTCTCGAACCTGGATCCTCAGGAGGAGCTGGCGACCCCCCAATTAGTGGTGGCCACCTTGAAAGAGGAGGCGGGGGGAAGAGGGCAGCAGGGAGCAGCAAGCTGGAGCGGCAACGCGCGGCGGACGAGGTCAGCGAGAATGCTGCTATCCCCGTCCTCCGTTCGAGGACCGAGGATCGAAGTCTCTGGGCAGTGGGGGGGGGAGGGGGCACCCTGGACCTTCAAAGGTCTCCGAGGAACTCTGGGCACCTCCGCAGTTCCCTCGAGACCTCTGGAGCGCGGATGAAAGACGGCCTCCTTGGACCTCCAGGGACCACCGATGCCCTCTGGGGACCGCCGCAGGCACCTCTAGACCTCCGATATCACCAAAGAGTCCCGCTGGAGGTTTTCCGCCAACCAGGGCTGTCAGAAAACGACCCGGCATGAACGGTTGTTTACGGCGTGCGCGGTGGCTAGACGGGCCAGCCAAAGCTTTCACGTGCTGGAACGAGGGAACATAACACGCGCAAGAAGAGCGGGCATGTATGATCCCGGGCTCCGGGCCCACGGCCCCCCCCCCTCCCCCCCCAGATGGTATGGTCCCAGGATTCCTCGGGCCCCCCCCCCCCCCCAGATGGTATGGTCGACGACGACGACGACGACGACGACGACGACGACGACGACGACGACGACGACGACGGCGACGACTACGACGACGGCGACGACGACGACCGACGACGACGACGACGACGGCTGCGGCGGCGACGACGCCGGCGGCGGCGGCGGCGACGATGACGACGATGACGACGGCGACGACGACGATGAGGACGACGACGACGACGACGAGGACGAGGACGACGAGGACGACGACGACGACGACGACGACGACGACGACGACGACCTCTGAACCACCACAGCACCACACCACATCCACAGGGGGGGGGAGGGGGGCAGCGCAGCGCAGCACCACGCCACGCCCACCTCTGAACCACCACAGCACCACACCACATCCACAGGGGGGGGGAGGGGGGCATAGCAGCGCAGCACCACGCCACGCCCACAGGGGGGGGCGGGGGGGACCATCGCGCGGGGGGGGGGGCCCAATGGCATCAGCATTGGGGGGGAGGGGGGGGGAGGGCCCAAGCCCTGGACCATGTATGCACATGCTATCTCCCTGAAGGGAAGAGGAGGAGCGAGGATGGGGCAGAGAGGAGGAGATTATCGGTGGCGAGCGAGGGGAGGAAGTGAGAAGGAGAAGGCCTTCTCAGAAGGCGGCCGAACTTATCAGAAGTGAGCGCCGCTGGAACTGGTAGCGCTGCGGGAAAGAGATGGCCCAGGGACCGAATGGCCGCCCGAGCCCTCGAGGAGGGCTTCCGCCTCAGCCTCCTCCTCATCAGGGAAGCCAGAAGGGTGGGGCGGCCACGCCCCAGGCGTAAGGATCACCTAGACGGGGACGAGGTTGGGGCAAACACGAGTAGCGGGAGCGGTGTAAACGACGGAAGGGAGGGGGCATGGGGAAAGAATGAGGACGGGAGGTCGACTCAGCTGGCGATCGCGACCGGGACCAGCTCAGCCTGCACGCTGGTCCGGCTCGGCTTACGAAGCGAAATCGTGATCCGGCATTTTGCTGGGATCCTCGCTGCATCCGCGTGATCATATTCTCCCACAAGTGGCCCGAAATTCGTCCATTTCGGAACCTTGTGGCTCTGAACGCCTTCGGCGTTGAAATTGAAGCCCCGGGCCTGCAGCTTGTCCGCCCATATCCCTGTGATGTTCACTCCCTGGAAATACGTGTCGGCACAATGTCCACCCAGGCGAAGCGCGTCTGCTTCCACCGCAAGCAGCGCGTCCTCGACTCGCTTACCACGTGGGATGTTGACCAACGTAACCATAACCGGCGTCATCAGGTCGAACCGTTCACCGTGGATGTTTTGCAGGTGCGGATCGCCGGTGCCCGTCGCCGAAGACGGCGGGGTCGCAGCCGACGTTGACGGCAGCGTTGGCGCCGGCGTCGAAAACGAGGTCGGACTGGAGGTCGGGCTGCTCGTCAGACTGGACGTCGGGGGCGCGGTCGGACTGGAGGTCGGGGTGTTTGTCGGGCTGCTCGTCGGATTGGGCGTCGGAAACGACATGGCCGGCGTCGGAATGCTGCAGACTCCCTGCGATGCCTGCGATCCACCGCCTCTTGTTCGGCACTTGAAAAAGTCACTACTGTCATCGCAAGCCTCCACTCTGCGCCAGTAAGTTTTGTGAGTGCCTGTCTTCAGGCACAAGTTAATTAGTGTCCTTAATTTCTAGAACGAAGCACGACAAATCGGATGATATTGGCACTGTGCACCAAGCGCTGGATGAAGCGCACGAGCGGATGAGGGCTACCTGCCCTTCTCCTTCATTGTTCAGGCAATAGCCGGAGTTGAGATTTTAGAATCAACTATCGCTTCGCAGTGTCCACCTGTCATGCGTCGATCAACAAATCCTACCAATCCTGGATGCAACAAATCCCATGCCATTCCTGGACGCAACACAGAGCCGGTGCCCATGAATCCTTCAAGTCCGAGATCAAAGCAAGATAACTCTATGAAAGCATCCCAGAAGACCCAAACAAAGCTGGGCCGACAAGAGTTCATTTCTTCATCATGCATTCAACTACGGGGCACTATTCACGATAGTCACCAGCGGGATTGATTAAAGACGGCTTGCGGAGCTCTAAACCGAATCCAAGCACATCAAAATCGGCCTTATTATCGAGCTCGCCCTCGACCCTCATTTCCTCCCCCCCAATCGGGGGGGAGGGGGAGGAGGAGGAGGAGGCAGGAGAGGGACAGAGGTCAAGGGAGCGAAACGAGCGAAGTGGGCCCCAGAGTGCCCCGCGGACCGATGGGGCAGGGTTCGAGTGAGGGCTCGCTTCTTTAGGATCTGTACTATAGTTTTGTGCATGATGGTGGTCAAGGAAAAACGGCCCCTGGCTCTGTTAAAGTCGAACTGCTGCCAGAAGGACCCCCCCCCCCCCCCGCAAAAAAAACGAGGCCCTTTTTTTCCACAAGTTGAACTTCGATTGCACATGGAAAACCGAAGGAACACCTAGAACAAAAAACAACACAACTAAGGAACACTGAGCCCCTCCCCAACGAGAAGGGTTCCTTATTCAGCGGCCCGACTGTGATTACTGAGGTCGGGGGGGTACAACTTGGCGGCATCAGCGGCAAGCTGAACAATTTCTGTATTCATCTCTTCGGCAAAGGGACGAGACGGCTCCGCGGTCCACACCATCTTCGCCCTGATGCGAAAAGACGTGCTCGATCTGATACATGTCGTTCTTGATATCGGGCACGGTCTGCATTTGCTGCCAAACGTCGTGCCAGTTGCCCGACGGTGGGGCTCCTCCGTCCAACAAGTTTTGAAACTTTTTCACGCAGCACGTTGTCACGGAAGAGCCACATAAGCATTCCCGCCACACGCACGAGGTGGAGCAATGGTGTTGCCTCCGCTCGTGCGCAACTCTGGCGGGGGACAGCCAACTCCGCCGCAAAGTTAAACCTGTGCCGAGGGGCGACTTAGATAGCGTGGCCCGCCCGCGCGAGCCACGGGTTCTTGGGGAAGCGGCATGCGCCGCCAGTCGCGACGGCCATCCAGCACTTGCCGCCGTCGTCGATCACGTAGTTGACCTAGTCCTCCGCGGGGTCCGCGTCCAACTCAGGCGGGGGGCGTTGCTGCGGGGGCTCGGGTTCGGGGTTCATGTCGTTGTAGAGCTTGATGATCTCGTGGTCCATAAACGTGAGGCCACAGTGTCGGGTCGATGGCGGCCATTGTTCACGTTCAGCTTCCTGGGCTCGGGGCCGAATGAGCAGGGCCTTCCGCTCAGTCTTCCAGCACGGACACGTCCATAATACATGTGATTGGGTTCTTGCTCGCGATCACAAAATCTGCACTTAGCGTAGGCATCTTCTGATATTCCCGATCGTTGTAGTCTCTGCTGTGTCTGGTCCCCTCCAGCCAGAAATACCGATAGTAAACCTCCCTGCCAATGTGTCAATATCCAACTCTTGCTCTTGGATCGCAGTAGCCACGTATTTGCCACTATGTCCAGTCCGTATGTTTGCTCCGAAACGTCTTCCAGGTCGTGGCGTGTTGTTGGAACTCGTCGAAAGAATCGTCGCCTCTGTGCATCACGAAGATTGTGCATGAGGAAGTCGCTATGCCCCTCCAGCCACTTTATCTGCGTGCCAAAGTCGGTCTCGAGCGTGTCGAAATCAGGCCACCTCCATCTGAGCTGCTCAAGCGCCTTGATGAAGGTGCGTACTGGCCCAGGGCAAGCGGTCCCCACGTCCTGGATGCAGTCCCCAAGGTCGGCGACGTAGGCACGTAGTTGAGGGACTCGCAGCACCTGGCGTCGCACCGATAACATTACTTCACGATGGCTGATGGCGCATGGGTCGAGGAGATGCCCTTTCAAAACGACCCCAAACAAGATCCACTGGCAAGTCCCCTGTCTTCCTCTCGGCATAAGTGCTGCGAACAGAGCCTGGTAGTAGTCGCGCATCTTGATCTTGTTTGGCGACCCTAAGTCAGCCCCGACTGCAGTCAACGAGGCCGCCAATGCTTGGGCAACATATGATGATGATGATGATGATGATGATGATGATGATGATGATGATGATATGATGATGATGGTATGATGCTGGTGATGTTGATGTTGTTATGGTGGTGATGATGATAATGTTGATGCTGATGCTGATGCTGATGCTGATGATGATGATGGTGATGATGAGGATGAGGATGATGCTGATGATGATGATGATGATGACGATGATGATGATGATGATGATGACGATGATGATGATGATGATGATGATGATGATGATGATGATGATGATGATGATGATGATGATGATGATGATGATGATGATGATGATGGCGCCTCCAGTTGGTCCTGTGTGCGGCCACTTTCTTCTGGGCGGGAACGCAAGCCCTTAAGGGTTGCCAGGGCTTCCAGAGCTAAGAAAGGACACCTTCACACCTTACTTTTCATTGAATGGCCAGCGCGGGCGGCAGCAAGTCCCACTTGGCCGCGCGCCAGGCCGCAGTAGAACCCAACGGGCCGCACAAAAGACCGACGGGCCGCACTAAAAACCACTCGCAGGGAGGGCGGTGGAGGAAGAAGAGGAAGGGAGTCAGGGCCAGAGAACGATGCACGGGCCGCCCACCTGGACCCTGACCCTCGCCTTGCCCTGGCCCCCGCTGCCCAGATTCGGAGGTTGCTTGAGGCGCTCCTGCTTCAAGGTGCCACCAATTTCCATCGCTGATTTGAGGGCCCTGGGACCCTCTGGGCCTCGTGAAGAGCTGGCTGGGGCCAAGTGAGCGACGCAAAGCAAGGAGTCTCACGCGAGAGGGCATGGCGACCTCCCGCGGTGACTTACGCAGGCCGCCAGCGAGGCACTCCGCGTGGAGGAGAGGGCGCCCACTCTCGGGCGGGCGGTAATGGTGGTGACCTTCATTGGGGGGTGAAGAAACGAGCCCGAAGGGGGACTTCTGGGGTCCCTTCTGGAGCCAGCAGGGGCACGAAAGGGGTCCTAAAGGGCCCCTTTGGGGCTTGTTTCGTCGCCCCCCATGTAGGTCACCCCCCATTCTCACCCGCCCGACCACTGACGCGCCACCTGGCTCCGGAAGCTTGCACGCCAGTGTCCGCGCAGCCGACCCCGCCTGTCTACGCCGCCCACCCTGGACCAGGGCCGCCTCTGGACGATGCCCAGGACGTGTTGGCAACGACGTGCGCTTGGCCGGCGAAGCCCTTCGGTTCGACGCTGGCACCGCAACGAAGGCCGACACGGGCAGCGTGCGATCGGTGGATTGGAATGGGATACGCACACAATGGGCCAGCACACGTCCCGAGCAGAGCAAGGAACAATTGCATACGTAGGCATGAACGTTCGAAGATCCGCGAGAACCACCAGCATACGCTTACGAAATTGGTTTTCCTCTGCGAGACGGGAATGTATCCACAACCACCGCCTGGTGAGTCGATCTTCGGGGACCTCGGCAGGCGTGGGCCCAGGGCCCAGGGCTCGAAACTATCCATATCCACCGCCTGCGGAAGTCCCCGCCCAGGCGGTGGGTACGGATGAGCTCCCGCCTCGGATCGGAGCAGGGCGAGTTGAGACAACGGCAGCCCAAAATCCGTCCGAGACCCCTCCCGGGGTCCAAACGCAGCAGTTTTCCGAGCTGCGTCCAGCCGTGGCGACGAGGGGGGCCCCCAAAGGCCAACTACCGTTGTCTCAACTCGCCCTTCTCGAGTCGGACCCTTCGACTGAAGACACTCGGACCTCGGCAGCACCCGACATGCTAGCCGCGCCCCGCGGCCATGAAGGGCCGCGATCCCCGCCTGCTAAGAGGCGGCCCGACCCGGCGGCCGCCCTCCACAACGCCCCCCGTGCCACCGAGGGCCGCCGAAGACCGCCGAGGGCCGCCGCCGAAGGCCACCGCCGAGGGCCCGCCGCCAAGGGCCCGCCGCCAAAGAACGCCGCCGAAGGCCGCCGCCGAAGGCCACCGCCGAAGGCCGCTGCCGATTGCCGCCGCCGAAGGCCGCCGCCGAAGGCCGCCGCCGAAGACCGCCGCCGAAGACCGCCGCCGAAGGCCGCCGCCGAAGGCCGCCGCCGAGGTCCGCCAGAGGCCGCCGAGCCAGGCCAGGCCGGACCTCCACGAGGAGGGCGCCGCGCAGGGCGCGCATGTGGCCGTCGAGCTCCAGCAGGGGCGCCAGCGGCTGGGGCGGCGGTCCCGAACCGCCGCCCGCGGACAGCAGCTCGGAGAGCAAGCCTTCAGCGCGTCGTCATCATCGTCGTCGTCGTCATTGACGTCGTCGTCCTCCTCTTCCTCCTCCTCCTTCTCCTCCTCCTCCTCCTCCTCCGCCTCATCCTCCTCCTCCGCCGCCACCGCCTCCGCCGCCGCGTCCTCGTCCATCCCGTTTCCTTATAAGTAACTCCTTCCGAAAGCACCCGAGACTCCTCGGTAGGGCGGGCAGGGCGGTTCGCCTGAGACTTCCCCACCGATTACAGCCCTTAAGCTCAAATTGTGCAGCAGCTCCAGGGGTGGAGGGCGGCTCGTTTTCAACATGTGGCTCTCGCCTCAGCGCCGCGCG